TGTGAAGATTGAATCAATTCAGCCTTGGGCTTTTTGACTCTCTGTACATAGCTCTGGGATATACAGATAATGCGGGGCACTGTCTGTTTGTCTGATCTGTCTGAGACACACTGGGAAAAATGGGACAAAATAGATTAAAAATCAAAGCAAAGAAATTCTCTTTAAATGATGCAGGAGATACCTCTGTCTAATCACATTTTGGGTAGTGATAGAAAAGCAACACAAAAATGCAAGCTAGAAGCATGGAAACCTGAAAAATACTTGTTTTGAACTACTTTAAGTTGAGTGTTGAACTGACCAGAGACTCATCTAGATGAATCTTTCAAAATATTGATATAAATAATTATGGCTGATACTCTAGCATCACCTTGAGGCTGCTGCTGGCACTCATGGCAAGAGGTTTGGAAATATAGTAAAGCAGAAGAGCAACAGTGTTTTAATGAGTCGGCTCTTCTCTTATATGTGCCTCTTGCTATAGCAGGGCTTTAATGTACATTGAGGGTTATGGTCTATCTTCTAAAGAAAGTGCCAGGGAGATTTAAATGTTTTTTCCTCAGGATCTGACAGATATGCAGTTCCCCACTGTAACTCATGGCACTTCGCAGGAACTGCCATGGATTGGTGTTCCCCTGACCTGACAGACATTGGCTGCAGGGTCTGGGAGTTTGGGGGATTGAGCTGCAGTTTAGAGCAGCTGCTTGTCTGCAGCCATCTAGGGGTGGTGGTGGTGGGGGGGGTCCATTCCAGTCTCTCCATCCTCTAGTGCAGGCTGGGCAGAATGAACTCCCTCCCCTCCCTTCTCCCATTCTGAAGACGGCACTGAGCTGCTTCAGCCCAGCCATGCTCCCAGTGCGTGCTGACAGATGTTAATATAGGTGCTCCACTTTCGAGTGCCTTCATCTGAATTCTCATATAATGAAGGTTCAGATTGTCCTGAACTCTCATATAATGAATGTGATTGGGCATTTTTAAAGTGCTCTGCAGCCATGCACTTCCTTTTAACCCCTGTAGACAAAACAAAACACAACACCTCTAGATTGAGGATATCCAGCAAGAAATGCTGAAATTTATTCATCAAAATTGTCATACAATAAAGACCTCTGATTTTATACTTCTTGATTTACAGCTGTAGTAAAAAAACAAAAACACCAAAAAAGAAACAGTGAAATGTGCTGTATTAAAGTGCAGTGATGTGTGTAAGATCACCAAAATAATGCAAATGACGCAGTCAGGAGACAGATGAAAGGACACAGTCTCACTCTCAGACAGCTTTGGAGTAAGATATGTAGGTAGGTTATGTTACAGATAATTTACAAAATAACTTACAAACAGGACAAAAACCCCAAATGTCTACACACTGCCATTTCATTATCACGTATCAGGCTGAACATTCCAAGCCAGTACAGTATTATATAGGATAATTTTTAAAAAAGGAACAGGCTGTTGGAAATGATATATAAAGTAAAAACCCTGAACAATTTTAATATTGCAATATTACAAGAAACGTATTTATGCATTGTAAAGTGACATTTCCATCAACATGAAGGCTATAAATAAATCCTTTACATTGATACATATATACACAGACACACACACACACACACACACACGAATTTGCACTGACTGGAGTCAGTACATTTGACTGTAAGTGGAAAAGGATTCATTTCTGGAACACTAAAGATGCTTCTTTTGAGGCAGTTCTCTTTTCATTATTTGCACTTCCAGCTCTAATCTAAATTCTGGGCATTGAGATAAACTTTTATGGCCTGATTTTCACGTGCTGACAACTAGCAGCTGCCACTAATTTCAATAGTAGCTTGCTGTGCTCAGAGTTTCAGAGACTCAAGCCCTTAATGTCTGAGGTTATTTTAAATACAAGACATGGACCAGAGAGAAAATGGTATCTTAGTATAAAGTAAAAAATATATCAAGGATTGGATTGAAGTATTCAGTGCAGCATATACATAAGTTTATATATTGTTTGCATTTGTAAGGCTGAATTGTAAAGGATACCCTATGGAGTGATAGCTTACGGCATTGGTTTACATCACATCTGTAAAACTGCATGTTTATGATTTCCCCCTCTTTAAAAAAATAATTAAAATATTTGTCATTAACACAGTTCAGTATTTTAATAAAGAAGTTTTCCACCCTCTTCTGTCCCCCTTTATAGAAAAGGTTATGAGTTTATATTTTCTGTCCTTTTAAGTATATCTACAAACATCATCAACTAAAAATTCCAGGTTTCTAGCCCTCACAGTATGTCTTCAAGCAGAAGGAAGACCCCAACTACATAGTTCATCTGCAAGTTTTCTTTGCTTGTAACCATCTTCTAACTGTTAGAGCTGCAGGCACTGCATTGCACTACAGACCATTTAGAAATTGCTTAACTAATATAAACATGTTAAGTTTCAATGTGCACCCTAATGCCAACAAATAATTTTGGTTTCAAACATGCTATTAAATTACTAATGTTATGTGAACACAGTGATTCTTGTAAAGAATTTAAGAGACCAAAATACCTAAAAATAGCCATTGCACAGTTTTAAAAGTTGGAAAAGATAAAATGGTCTTCTCTTTTGATACTTTTATAAATCGGGGTAGTCCATTTATTTTGCAGCATAGCTGGAAAGTATTTTACTGCAGAATACATGGTGTTAAAATGCAAGACAACACGAGAACAGCTAGGCCAAAATTTAATTCCCGGTTACTAGAAAAACTACTCCTGCACTGCATTAACTCAGAACTGTATTTAAAGGAAGGATTGAGAATGAATAGTAAACTCTAGATTTATTATCCTAACTTGTATATAAAACAGTGATTACCAATTTATTACTTTACAATAGTATTTGCCACTGAACACATTTCTATTGTTTTGTTTCTGATAGTTGCAAAACAATGTTTCTCCGTAGAAATTTGACTTGGGAAAAGGTGTGTTGTGCTAGTAACTGTTGAGATTCAGGCTTCAAATGAGAAGCTTCTTGAAGAGCCTTTTTCCAATCATTTTTTTGTTTCATTTATAGTATTCACACTCCACATACTTTCCAGTGAGATCTTCCTAGGGATGCTTTGTAAGCCACCATTTAAAACATACAACAGGGACACGCACGCTGGTTCCCCAATACTCAGAAGTCTGCACAGGATACTGAAAGTTCACAGGAGGTTCGATGAAATTTTAACATTAGCCCTTAAGGTCCGAAAAGCTGGTGCTACTAACATTGCAACTATCACTGCAACTTGATGATGAGCTCAAAATACTGGAAGCAGTGCCTGATTCTGGAATAGAAGGGAGAACAGTGGAATAATTAATAAGAGGTAATTGTTAATAAGTCTTCAGCAAAATGGATTGCTGGTACATTTACCACAGAAGCCTTACCAGAGCTGCTTAGAGACTGTGCAGATTTTGAGTTGCCTATGAGCATCAATAGATTGTTGGCTGGGACCCAACCTTCCCTACCGCTAGTCAGATTCTTTACATACCTAAAAAAACAAACACATACTGTCAAAACATTTTATTTAGATGTTTTAGAATAGTTACACTCCACAAACACACACACAAATATATGTGTATATGTACAGTGGTGTAACAAGCAGTTGGGTGCCTGTGGGGGAAACCCTGCAGGAGCAGGTGTTGGCACACAGGTTCTGAGAGCTGGGGGCTGTAGGTCTGGAGAAAGGATGGGTTCTGAGAGTATGGAGGGGGAAGAGAGAATAAAATATTTTACCCTCCTTCTGTAAGAGCTATATCAGGTTCACAGGTCAGGCACTATACGTGGATTCTGAAAGCAGGGAGAGAGGACAGTGGGGGACACAACAGTTTTACCCATTCCAGGAACTAGTAGATAGTCCTGGCTGAACTTTTGCCACTGGGTGCTCTGCCCACCCCTGCTGCTGCTCTTCAAGTAGCAGCAGCCAGGAACTGTTTTGGCATTCCTGGCATAGGCATGTTGCTGAGGCACAGACTCTGGGGGTGGTGGTGGTGAAAGATTCTGGTACCTCTCATCCACCCCTAGTTATACATATGTATATACACATATATGCAAAGCTATGCATAGGCAAAAAGTATTTTGAAGCTCTGCATGCATTTCCAGATAGCTAAACACAAATTTCCAGTTTCGTACCAAAGTCTATCTTCCCCTTCACGGATCAGCTGAACAGCATCACCACTTTTCACTGTAAAACTTTCAGAGCTTCCTTTGTCATAGTCAGTCACAACAGTGTATTTACCAGGAGTCTAAAGGCACAAAGGGAGAATAAAATGAATAAACTAATAGTTAAAATAGAGTAGATACTTTATTTT